ACCTTTTAGACACGTTCTATGCTCTAATCAAACCAGAACAGGACCAGAATTTTCCTGCTGCTTCAGACTGATTGGGCTCTTCCGGGACACGTGGTTGTCCTAGTTGCACAGGGGGGACTGGGATGGTGGGAGGAGGTGTTTTTTCTAATTTACACTTAGGGCTAGCAGCAGCCTTCAGTCTCACTTTATGGGATGCCAGTTTGTCCTACCTCTGCCCATCTCTCCTCTACCCACCATTCAAGATTCAGGGTAAATAATGCTTCCTTCATGAAACATTGCTTTATGCTCCCTCCTCTGATCGTGCTTACTCTGCCATTTCCTGCTTAATATCTATGCCTGTGTCACATCTCCCTTTCTATATTGTAAGCTCCTACATCAGTTCAATGATGGTGTCTTACAACAGTAATATCTGGAGGTTAGTCATGAGGTGTAAAATAAATCACCTATTTTTAATAATTGTTCAAATATATTGAACTGTACACTTTAAAATGGGGGAATTGCATGGTATGTGAATTACATCTCAATAAAGCTGTTATAAAAATAGAAGTTCAAATGTTATTGTAAATGATTTAGAATCATTTAAATAATTTTAAGCAGGACAAGTTAAAACATGCACACATTTGTATCTTCTATTTCTTGAGACCTTATTTAAATGGCAGTAAAGAAGAACTAAAAAGAATAAACTCAAAATAATGATGAGAATGGAAGATGAAATCATCAAGGAAAAGATTTTAACATATTTCTGGAAGATGAAAAGTGAACAGAAGAAGATATCTGGTTCCAGGAATAAAGGACTAGATAATTCAAGCTACCTTTCTTTGAGGCCAAATACTAAGTTAGGACAAATTTTAAAATACACCTAATTGAAGGCATTGGAAAGCTAGCACGAGAGTGAAGAAATACTGTCTAAGAGAAGAAAGAAATTCTAAGAGTATAGCTCGGCACCAGGGGCCACTTTTCTTCTAGGAGACATTTGTCAATTCTAGAAGAGAAAACTAAGAAGCTGTTAGACAGAGCAGCGTGGCGCCAAGGGGACAAAAGTTGGAGTCTTAAACACCTGCCTCCAACACACACACACACACACACACACACACATATACATACTCAGTCTTGGGACTGCCAAGAGCTCTGCTCTAGCAGATAGTGAACCAGATGTAGATAGTTCTCACAGAGACTGTAGGTTGGTTTCCAATCATCCCAGGCTCTGAAGTTAAAGTGGTCCTGATTTATTCATGATCCCAGCAAATACTACTGTTTTATGGACAAAGAGAATATTATCCTGGGCTTCAAATTATCTCTATAAATAATTTTGCAAACATAATTGAAAGCATGTAATAAATAATAACCAACAAAGGAAGAAAACATGAATGAAAACCACATCATAGTAAAGCTGCTAGAAACCAAAGAGAGAGGAAACCTTAAAAGCAGTCAGGGAAAAAGATTACCTTTAAAGGAACAACAATTTGGCTTACAGCTGACCTTTCAACAGATTCAGTGAGAACCAGAAGATAAAGTACTATCTTTAAAGTTCTAAGAGAAAATAACTGCCAATATAGAATTCTACACTCATCAAAAATATCCTTCAAGAATTAAGGTGAAATAAAGATATTTGCAGTTAAACAAAATCCTATAGCAGCAGACTCACACTAAAGGAAATACTAAAGAAGACTCTTCAGGCAGAAGGAAACAGATTCCAGAATAGAAGGTCAGAGATGCGGGAAGAAATGAATAGCAATGAAAACAATAATAATAATATCTTGTGGGACATAAAATATATATGAAATTAAGATATATCATAACAGCGATGATATAATCAAGGAGGAATATATAATATAATATAATAGATAGATAGATAGATAGATAGACAAGACAGACAGATAAACAGATACATAGATACCATAGATAGTGTTTTAAGATCTTTGGATTCTTACATTATCTAAGAAGAGGGTATAAGTAGTCCAAATAATGTTAGATTTTGACAAGTCAAGGGTGCATAAAGTAATTTCTTGGGTAGCCACAAGAGAATGATAAAAGTGTGTATTTATACCTAATAAAATAATCTTAAATTATGTAAAGAAAAAATTTGACAGAAATAAAAGGAGAAATAGGCAAATTCATAATCAGAATGGGAGGTTTGAAAATATTTCTCTTAACAACTAATAAAAAAAACCCATTGAAAAAATCAGTAGATGACAATTACCAAACTTGACCTACTGTGCATATATTGCAGGCTGCAGAATACACCTAATTTTTGAGTATATATGGAATATCTACAAAAGTTTTATAAAAAAAATCATATGCTGGGCCATAAAGTCTCAACAAATCATAGTGAATTTGTTCTCTGGCCATAATACAATTAAGCTAGATTCAACAACAAAAAGAAGAGAAAAACCCCTGGGTGTTTATAAATTAATAAATAAAATTCTGGAAATCTCATAAAAAATGTAAAAAAAGGAAATGAATGTTTGAAAACATGTTGAGCCAAGTAATAATAAAAAAATACTTGTATGTTGCTGCTAATTTCATACTTAGAGGAAAGATTATAGCTTAAATGAATATGTTAGAAAGAAAGGCTTAAAATCCTAAGGCAGGAAAAATAACAGCAAGTTATATCAGAGAAAAGACATAATAAGTATAAAAGCAAAAGTCAGTAAAATAGGAATCAAATAGGTAATAAAAAGATGAACAAAATCAAAAGTTGTTTTCCTTAAAACACTAATAAAAATGACAAGCCTGACAAGACAACACAAGGAAAAAGAGAATATAAATTGTTACCATCACAAATGAAAAAGTGGACCTTACTACAGATTCTTCAATATTAAAAATATCTTAAGAGATATTTAGAATAATTCTAAACAAATTTGAAAATGTAGAAGAAAGGGACAAATTCCTTCAAAAATAAAATTTACCAAACTGACACAGGAAGAAATAGAAAATATTAATAGCCATGTTATTAAGGCTGTTAGTATTTGATCCATAATTGAAACTTCCCTTATAAAAAACTGCAGACATAAATATCTCCCTTAGAGAATTAAAAGAATTTTAAGAAGGAATTAATGTCATTCTTACACAAACTCTTTCAAAGAAAGACAAATTGGATATTATGAGAATTAAAATTTTACATTACATGCTAATTTTATCATGAGCATAGCTATACAAATTTTTTAAAAAAAATTAACAAATCAAACGTGATAATATGTAAAGGGATAATACAACGTGACTGCAAGAATGCAAGGTTGATTTACATTAGAAAACCAGCATAGCTCACTACAGTAACAAAATAAAGGAAAAAAATAGGTTATTTAAATATATAAAAAATAAGTATTAGATAAAATCAAACATCCACTTATTAAAAAAAATTCTCTTTGGAATAGAAGGGAACAGCAAATATTTAGCAAAATACTGGAAGTTTTTCCCTTTGAGATTGGGAAAAAGATAAGAGTCCTACTATTAACCCTCCAAATCAACACTGTACTGGAAATATTAGCCAGGTCACTGCAGCAGATTGACTACAAAAATGATTCCAGCTTTCTACCTCTCCCTGTACCCATGCCCTCTGTAACATAACTGACTTTGTAGCACCTCCCATCAAGGGATGGATTCTATTTATTCAGCTCTTGAATATGGGCTGGCCTTGTATTTCACTTTGTTTAAATGAATGTGGTGGAAGTGACAACGTGCCCCTTCTGAGCATTAAGAGTCCCCCCTTTCTCTCTTTCTCTATTTCTCTCTTTTGGAGACAGCCACTGCCATAGGAGATAGCAGCCAACTGAAGGATGAGACTACACTGAATAGAACTAAGTTAGCCCAGCAGTCCCTGCTGAGGCTCTAGATATGTGAGGAGCCCAGTCAACATCAGTAAAGCTGCTCAGCTGACCTGCAGCTAATTGCAGATACACAAGTGGCCCTGGCAAGAGCCCAAATCAGCAGAAATACTCAGCCAAACTATAGACTTGTGAGAAATACGTGGTTGATCTGGGTGGCTTATAGTGCATCAGTAGATAATTGATACAGGGAGTAAGTCAAGGAAAAACAAAGAATAAATACTGAAAAGGAAGAAAAAGTCCATAGTTATTTGCTGAGGGTCTAATTGTGTATGTAGGAAAAAAAAAATCTACAGATACAGTATTGGAATTAATAAGCAAATTTAGCAAAGTTGATCTCAAGTACAAATTATCAATTGCATTTCCATATGAGGACAATGTCTTAGTCTGTTCTGTCTGCTACAACAGAATACGACAGGCTAGGTAGCTGAAATAACAGAAATGTATCTCTCATGGTTCTGGAGGCTGGGAGCCCAAGATCGGGTGTGGAGGACTGGTGTCTAGTGAGGGCCTGCTTCCCGGTTCACAGACATCCATCCTTTCACTGGGCCCTCACACGGCAGAGAGGCAAGTTAGCTCTCTGGGGTATCTTTCATGAGGGCATTCATCCTATTCATGAGGGCTCCACCTTCATGACCTAATCACCTCTCAGAGGCCCTACCTCCAAATTCTGTCACACTAGGCATTAGGTTTGAGCACATGAATTTTGTGGGGATACAGATATTTAGTCTACAGCAGGCAACAAATAGAAAAAATTTGTTTAAAAAGTAACATTAAATTGCATATGGTACATAGGAATAAAACTAACAAAATATGTGTAAGATTTCTCACATAAAATTATAAACCATTATTGAGAGAAGGAATAACTAAATAAATAGAAGGCTATACCGTGTTCATTGATTAAAAAATTCAATATTGTATACATGACAATTCCTTCCTAATTGACTTAGAAGACTCAAGATAACTCCAAAGAAATCTCAACAATTTTCTTTTCCCAGAAGTTGACTATTTAATTATATAATACTCAAAGAGTGCAAACTAATCACGAGTGTCTTGGAGAAGAAAAACAATATTGAAGGACTTAACTCTGCTACATACCAAGACCTATTATCGAGGTATGGTATTTAAGGTAAGGATAACAGATAGACCAATGGAACAGAAAAGAGAATCTGGAAATAGACCCATGAACACTTGATGTATGTAAATCGTAGTAGTTTACAGCAGTAGGAAAAGGATGGCTTTCTCACTGACTCGGGCTGAGACAACTGAATATCCATTATAGAAAACCTGCAAATGGTGACCATTTGCAGAGTCAGTTCTGTGTGGCTTGAAGGGTTAAACGTGAAGGGCAAAACAATAATGCTTTCAGAAGATACTAAACACAAATATCTTTATGACCGTGGAGTATAAGATTCTTAATGGGCTATAAAAAGCACTAATCAGAAAGGAAAAGACTGATAAGTTGTACTATGTTAAAATTTAAAACTTTTTTTTCAATCAAAAGGCACTTTAAGAGAAAGAAGGGGCAAGCCACCTAGTGGAGGAATTATTTGCAACACATATGACTAACAATATATAATTCATTTCTTCAAATTAAAAGAAAAAATAGTTGATCAATTAAAAGTGCACATGTAACAAAGGAAGATATCTAAATGGCCACTAAACACATACAAATGTGCTTAATATCATTATTATTCCATGATGTGTGAGCTATAATCACAGTGAGATTCTACTATATAGCCATCAGAGTGCCCATATGAAGAAGACTAATAATAGCAAGAGGTGGTGAGAATGCAGAACAATGGGAACACTCTTCTATCACTGGTTTGACTCTGAATTGGTACAATCACTTAGGAAAACAGTTTGGCATCATCTACTAAAGTGAAGGTATGTGCACCTTAGGACCCTGCAATTCTAATCCTAGGTATACAGCCAACAGTGCATGCAAACATACACTAAGAGAAATACACAACAATGCTTGTAGTAGAAATTTGCAAAATAGCCCCAGATTGGAAACAATTCATATTTGTCTATCAAAAGTAGAATGGGTAAATCAATTATGGCATATTCATATACTGGAATACTATTACAGTAATGAAAATGAATGAACTACATTTACATTTCACAACACAGATGAATTTCACAAATATAATAGTGAATAAAGAAACAAGACTCCCAAAATTATATACTACATGATTTTACTTATGTAAAGTTCCCCAAACCTACCAACAAGAGGCAAAACCTAACTATAGTGTTTAGGGATATATGTAAGTGGTAAAACTATAAAGAAAAGCAAAGTAGTGTTTACCACAGAAGTCATGACATGCTTAACTTTGGGGAGGCAGGTGAGGGAGTAGTGACTGGGAAGGGACATGAGGGAGGCTTCTAGTGTGCTGACAATGTTCTGTTCTTGACTGTAGGAGTGGTGACCCAGATACTCACTTTCTGATAACTACTGAGCTGAGTCTTCTGATTTGTGCTCTTTTCTGTATATGAATTATACTTTAAAAATTAAGTTAAAAAAGTTAATGGAGGCATATTCGCAGATGAACCCAAAATGGAAGAACAAACGGCAGCTTGGAACATGAATACCAGTAGTGAAATTTTAAAAGGTTGTTCTATCTCAGAATTATTTCTATTTTGTCCAGGGACCATAATCCTATTTGTCTTGACATTACCCTTCAGTCTGTTGATTTTCTTCATGTCAGGTATCTCATAAAGATACTATCTAAGTGGCAAAGAAAAATCAGTGTTTAATTATATAATTTAAGTTTAAAAGGAAATCAAAAAAATTTAAACACAAAATTGTAAGCACCAAAAGAAGTAGGAGAGAGGGGAGGCGACACTGCAACAAATGCACATCTTTCATAGATGGGGAGAGTAGATATTGTTTAAAGTGATAAATCAAGAATGTTGAACCAAATTATTCGGAGACATGATGGAAACCAGGAAAAGAATTAGAAATTGCAAAAAAATGGTTGCTTCTGGGAGAGGGAATAAGGTAGGAGCATAGAGAAGACTGTGTTTCACTATCAACCCTCTGGACTATTTGATTTCTGTTTTGTTTTTGCCATGTGCGTATTACCTTGGTAAATCTAGCAAGACACTTATGAGATTCCAGTTTATGTTATTCTCATCTTCTGATTTAATTCTCATTTACTGATTGCTTTTTGAGTTTGCAGCACACCAACTAGCCCAAGAATAATACCTACAGTCTGTCTTGCCTATGCTGTAGCTGAATAAACACCGTTTCTAAAGTACTATTAGGAGTTATAGCTGTGGCAATGACCAATTATTGCAGAGCTTCTGAATTATGATTTTATAATTACTTCTATTTCCTATTATACTTTATTTATAGATTTATTTTAATTAGAAACAAGGCAGGTATACAATTACATTGTATATGGACAAATGGGAAGTTAGGAATATTTATATTCAACAGTTTGAAAAGGCAGCTATGTTACCAAATCAAAAGCAGATGAATCAATGATAAAAGTGAAATTTCCAAAAACACTTAAATTAATAATAATGCTAAGAATCTATACATTCTAGATACTATTTTCTAAACAATAAAATAAAATTTATTTGGGCTTCTGCTCTACTTGCATATCTTGTGAGCTTTACCTTGGGGGATAAAGATCTAGAAAAAAAATCAAGATTCATTTTTTAAAAAGTAAAGTTGAACTACTGAATGATTGACAGTATTTCTTTTTCTAGTAAAATTACAATCACTGAGATTTTTAAATGCCTCATTTCATTATTTATGTTTGTAAAATGCTTCTTAGAACTCTCTCCTTTAAAATTCTAATAATTTTTTCTACTTCTTCAAGCTTATTTTTCTTAAAATCTGGTACTCCCATGTGTAGTATCTGCCAAATATTTTATAGTAAGAAAAATGTTAGGAACATCTTTTCCAGAGAAAGCGTCTTGTTAGGTTTTGACATCACACAGCAATCTCACATATTGTTTTGCACAGAGCAGTTACTCAAAAAAAGTTTGTTGTATTGAATCACATTAAGTAAAACATGATATAATATCATAACAATAGGACTAGCCCAAACTTCAATGAAAAATCAGAGCTTATGGTATAAGAAAAGTGATTCATCATGTATAACATAATAGAAAGTAACTTTCCTGTCAGATATGTTTGTTTTTCTTTTCTTTCTTTAAAAAGCTTTTTTAATGGGGGGAGGTAATTTTGGATTTATTTATTTATTTTTTTAAACAGAGGTACTAGGAATTGAACCCAGGACCTTGTGCATGCCAGGCATGCACTTTACCACTACGCTATACCTTTCCCATCCGGACATATTTGTGTAACTAAGTCTCTCACTCACTGAAGGGTGGGTAGTCACTGGATGTCTACAGTGTGCCAGGCACTGTGCTAGGTTCTGTGCCCACAAAAAGCTTCCTCTGCTGCTGCTCAGAGCCTTGTGGAGACAGCCAACTAGAGAATGGAAAGTTACAAAACAATGTGACACGGACTCTGACAGGTCCAAACCTTCTGTCTCACTCCTTTCTTTTTACTGCAAAGGTGATGGGGCCGTCTTGGTAAGGCAGAATCAAGGGGCAAAGCCTTTATCAGCATAATAATTAGCAAGAGACGGTTCATTTGCCTTACAGGAAGAAACTGAAAGATTCAGGCCTCTCCTCATAAACACAAAACATTATCTTTGCCTCAGAGCCCTTGAGTGTAGCCCTCCAGGATGGGGACACTCAGCCACAGAGCCATGATGCTGGGGAGAGGAGGGGAAGGTAGAAAAGATCAGCAAAGGGGAAGGCAATGCAGTGGACGGGGGAGGAGGAAAGGGACTCCTGGATTTTCACAGGGGCAAGATTCTGCGTGGAATGATATGGTGGGACAAATAAAGAAATATTATCAGTGTTCATGAGTGAGATTGTTACCGTGTTAGATGTTGGGGGCATGAATGATGGTTGTTGCTGTAGTGGAAGTGGGCTCAGTGTCTCACAGGGACCCATGGGATGAGAAAAGGAGGGGCTGCCAGCTTAGACTACAAAGCAGGTGTGGGGAGGGTGATGGAGGTAGGAGAAAATGGTTCAGAATCTGAAAATTATAGAGTAAGGCTCTGGCACAGACCACACGTCCAGAGACACTGACCCCGCGGCAGTGCTTTCTTATTACGTGCCCATCAGTTAATTACCATGATTGTTCTTACCCTCAGCAGACTTAGGGGCAGGAAGTACAGCTCAGTGCTGAGCAAAAGATGCTCCTTTTGAGGATGAGGGAAAGAAGAAAGGGTGGGTTGAGTCATCCTCAGGGATAGAATCCACAGGTGACAGTGACTTGTAATATTCATCTTCCCCGTCAAGCACTTTGATTTGGCTGCAACAAAGGAAAGAGTTTCAGAAAAAAATGAAAACAAATGTGACAGTCATCAGTGGGGCGGGTCCAGTCGTGTGAGTACTTGGAACAGGGCTGGGTCCTTACCCTGGGTCAGGGTAGGGGGCAGCTTAGAGTCCCCCAGCACTGAGGAACTGGGGTCTGACCCTCAAAGCCCTCCACCTCTGGCTCACACATTAATAACGGGCTCCATATAGCTGTGTCTGGAAGTTGTGATCAAATTGCAACTCGATTTCTGTGAATTAACTTGTCTGGTTCCCTCTAGATGAGAAAGTTCCCCTCCTGCCCTCCTCTAGTTCTCAAACTAGTACCAATTTCCTACCTCATTCCTGTTCTCAGTCGCAATGCTAACAATCGAATCAGTCACGAACTCCTTAGTGTCCTCTGTCTACTCACTGGGGGAATTTCTCTTCGTGTACCTTTAAGGCTCAGGGGTAGGGGAATGTGGGAGAAGCAGCCTTATTTGCTCTTACTTGTTTGAGTGTTTATACAGCCTGATACATGCCTCAAATTCTGAGGAAAGTCCGATTCCCTAGGATAATTATGAGAAATAACGTTTGCTTTTTGGTGGCAATTTCAGTCTCTTCTGACAGAATAGATTCAAGTTTTGTATACTCGCTACTGTGAAAAGTAGTTTCCAATGTCAATAATAGTGGTGATATCCCCACTGCATATTTTTAGAAGTCTCTCTGGAAAGTTTGGCGTTTTCTGTAATATCACAAAGGACCCCTTCTGTTTACAGTTGCTTAGAACTAAGAAGACAGATATTTACCCAAGTTTTCTTGGCTTCCTCTTGCTCCCTTGATATTCTAGAGTTCCCTGTGGAGAGGGCCAAGAACACACAGTCAAAGCAAAGCAGCAAGTCGTTAATTTTTAATTCAAAGTGATTTTGTGTTGAATGCAAGCAGATGCTGATAATATCAGAAGTCACAGCATAATTTTTTTGATCAAAGGGCTCAAGTGAGCCTGATGAAGCATGCATCTTGCTCGTCTTTGATAAACCACATCAATTATTCACCGTGAAGGCACACATCCTGACATGAAAGCAACAGATAAAGAGCCTAAGCACATGTTCAAGACGAGAGTATAAGAGAGTGGGGGTGGGGCTGCAGAGGCTGGAACAGGTATTAATAACGGAATTATTAACTGGAAACAAAGCCAGGGAAACAGCTTTATGGCCACTTTGAACTCACATTTAACTGGTTATAGTACATGGTGTCCTCAGGGCTACTCAGCATTTTGGGCTGCTGACATCTTCGGCGAGGTGTACGCTGCTTCTGTGCAAGATCATTTTTTGAATCTGCAACAAGAGAGCAAAACTTGACTGTAAACCATAGGAAGTTCGGGGAAAATTAAGTGTAAAATTGCTCATCGCATAAATACACTTAGTAGAAACTGTGTCTCACTGTAATGGGCATGTTGGAGCTTTGCTAATAGTAGGAGAAATATCACTGTAAACACACACACACCCAGGGGTGGGCAAGTGTAAACAAGGGCAGCTGTTGTCAACTTTGGCTTCATCCCTCTTATCTGAGTCAGCCGTCAAGAATGACGGAAAGCAAATTGGTTTGTCCACGCTAGTGAAGTAGAGGTTGGTGGTCAGCCTTTGTAGGGAAGAGAGAGAGAACTCAGTTAAGGCAGTGAAGGCAATCTGGGACCGTCTGCACCACATCCTACAGTGAGAGTTTAAAGACATCTGGAGCACACACACCCTTGGGTAGATAAGAAGCAAACCTTTTGGTGGGATACATTTTCAAGGGAAAATGGTTTGTACTAGTATTTTCTGAAGTGCTTTGAACAATGCCATTGAGCCATGCAGTCTCTGGAGGCAGCGTAAAGGAGAAAGGGGGAAGGATGACTGCATGAGTTCATGGGGACGCCTCTCCATGTTGGTCCTGATTTCAGAACCCTGGACCAAAAGGGCACTGGAGATCAAGAAACCATGTGTCCAATGAAGCCATGATTTTTTTTCCCTTCTAAGCAGATGATTTTCGTGAAACCTGCTGTCCTTTTGGCACTATATCTGAACGAGGGTTCAGGAGTTCTCACTTCTTACCAACACACACACACATACACACAGAGCTGATACAGAATACTGTTCATGAATGTCATAGTCTGGGGAAGAGATATCACTTCCTGGACCAAGTTTTATATATTATTTATAATAAAGAGTTGGCGATTTGTGGAATCATAGTGTCTTTTCATTAGAAGTTCCTTCTATACAAGGAAATTCTGGGGGAATTTTCTAAGTGAAGAATGACTCAGCAAGGACCAATGTGAATAGCAAATGATCAGTTTCTTTATCAGTATGAAGTTTTGCATCTTTATTTTTTTGAATTGGAGCGAATCTATGTTTGAACAAGACTATTAGAACCATACAGGACTTTAGAAGCCATCCATTTTTAAATACCCATTTTTTTCAGAAAAGGAAACTGAAGCCCATAAACGTTGAATGACTCACCCCAGAGCAAGTGGCAGAGTGGGGACCCAACCCTAGATCTTTTAATTCCTGTTTTGGCAGTTTTTTTTTTAACTACAGCATATTGTATATCTTATTAACAAAAAACATTCTTTTAAAAAGTCAAAGTTCTAAGTAAAAGTAAGCGCCATGAAAAAATACTAATTAGCATAGTAAAGTGATGTTACTCATAGAGTGTTCCAGTAGCCTTAATAGACACCCCTGACCACATCTTCAGGAACTGTGCAGAGGACAGGACTCCAGATGCTTGAACTGGCACTGTCCTCAGAGTATAAGGAATCCAGAACTGCAATGGGTACTTTCTGAGAGTTCCAACATGTGTACCTCCAGATGCTTTGCAAAGTCCATATTCTGTAAGATGGCAGAACATGAAGTTCTGAGGCTCTTGTATGTTATTTCCTCTGTTTCACAGACTAATGAACAGAAGCGTCTTGAGTTAAGGTTGCTGGCGTGAACATGCACTGGATATCTGACATCTACTCTCTCTTAGACTTTCTACTGTTATGGGAATTCCAACCTTGGCAACTCGAAAGACTGATCTTTAATAGTTTTTGGGTTCAGCTGGAGTTCAGCCCAGTTCAGTAGGACTTTATGTAAAGTTTACAATTGATTAAAAGCTTTTATTTATATTCTCAACTGGGAATGCTTAATATAAGATGTCGTTCTCAACTTTTGCTTTTGATGTACTTGCTGTTCCATAGGTGGGTATTCTTTTCCTGATTCTTAGAAAGAATTCAGTTATTGGAGAGAATTTTCTCTATGTTAACATTTCTCAGATAAATTAAAACAAACTGTTGGTGTCTGATGGTATCTATGCCGTACTAGAATCTAGTGTAAGCTGGTATCTGATTTAGCATCAAATTTTAATTTTCATTATTTTAACTTTAATACCTCCATATTTCATGATGCTTTGCAAAAAGTGTCAAAATTTCCAGATGCTTTGCTGTTGAAACAAATCTGGGTATCATTGATACATGATTAATCACAGGAAACCAAATAAATAATTGGGAAATGTATCATTATTCCATTAATGTTGTTGGAACAACTGGACAGCAATATGCAAAAAATATAACTTTAATACAGGTCTCATTAAAGTTAGCCTATATGTAAGGTATGTTGCTGGATATTGTGGGGAAGACAAAGAGAAATAAGACAAAGTCCCTGCCTTCAGTCTAGTAGAGGACATTGAGTCTTAAGAGGTTAAATGATTTACTTACAGCCATAGCTATTGCTGCTGGAATCAAAATAGTTTTTTTTTTTAATTCTAAATCTTTTACTTTTTTCAATGTACTTCTTGATTCTCACAGGCCACAATAAATTCCAGATGAGTTACAAGTTATACATTTTAAATATCCCCATACAAACTTTAGAAGGAAGTGAAACAGACTATTTTAACAGTGGAAGAAGATATTAGGGACAAGGATGGGTTCAATCACACTAAAGTAAAATATTCTACCTGGAAGGATAGTAACAAAAACTTAAGATGAAAGAAAGTACAACAGAAAGATAAAAACAAATTTAAAAATATACACATAAAAACTACTATCCATAGTTTGGGAAGGTTAAGGCAGGAGAAAGATGAAGAAATATTCATATATGTTGAAATGCAATTATTAAATAAGATACTGAAAAATGTTCAGCCACCCTGACAAAGAGCTTCAATTAAAACAATTACTACTGCCTTTCTATTAATTAGGATAAATCAAAAGGTCAAAAGACAGCATGGAATTAGACTCAGGTACATAGATGAGTCCATAGGCTCCATCTCCCCTAAAGTAACTTGATAATAGATAACAAAAGCTAAGCACCTTGTTCCAAGAAACATGTCCCAATAAAGTAAACCAAAAGAGAAAAAAAGACTACTGTATGAAGATGGATATGAAAGCACTTCCTGCAATAGAAAAAAGCTAGAAACATGCTAAATATTTAATAATTGGGAAAAAGTTAACTCTGAGATAGAAATACAATGTCATACCATGAAGGTATCTGTGAGGATAAACATAGGTATGATACTGATATATATATAAATTCAAAATTCAGAAAAAGAAGCAAAATATAAAATAGCACACAGCAGACTGACTAAATATGTGTGCACTTTAAGAAGTTTATCATGATTTTTTTCCCTTAAAAATAAAAATATCAATGAGGCATGTAGGAAAAACAATATTATCCTTTCAACATATAAAGAAACTACAGGTAAGAAAGGCTAAATCTGCAAGTGGCAGAGTGGAAGCCTGAATCCCTGTCTTCTGGCTCTTGAGCCAATCAATTTGCTCAAAAGAGATGCAAAACAATAGGGTTATCTGGCAATTATCTAGTTCTTTTGACGAGTTTATATAAATAAACTGGCCAATTCAAGTTTGAAGATATCCATTAGAATATGTGTTATTTATTTTGAAGACAATGATGTTCATATTCATAAGTAGCCAACTTTCACTTCATATAAATATATCTAAGCCAAGCCACACTCTCCAGTTTGTGATACTCTGGGTACTACCTACCTATATCATGTTTTAAAAAAGTGTATCATGTTATGAATACCAGTTTGCATTTAACATGGATCTCTTTCCTTTGCATTGAACTTAGGTCTTTGCATATGACACAGGTCTCTTTCCTTTCCAAGAATCCCTGAAACTTTTCTACCCCCTGAACTTTTTGATTTCTTGAGACCTTGAATGCATCTTTCTCTTCTGCATTGTCACAGAATTCTCCAACACCCCAGACTTCAGACAATACTACAGAGCTACAGTAATCAAAATAGCTTGGTATTGGTACAAAAAGACAGACATATGGATCAATGGAACAGAACAGAAAGCCCAGAAATAAACCCACAAACTTTTGGTCAATTAATCTTTGACAAAGGAGTCAAGAACATACAATGGAGTAAAGACAGTCTCTTCAGCAAATGGTGTTGGGAAAACTGGACAGCTGCATGTAAATCAGTGAAGTTAGAATACTCCCTTACACTATATACAAAAATTAACTCAAAATGCCTTAAAGACTTAAACATAAGACAAGATACTATAAACCTCTCAGAAGAAAACATAGGCAAAACATTATCTGACATAAATCTCAGCAATGTTCTCCTAGGGTAATCTACCCAAGAACTAGAAATAAAAGCACAAATAAACAAATGGGACCTAATTAAACTTACAAGATTTTGCACAGCAAAGGAAACAATAAGCAAAACAAAAAGACAACCTATGGAATGGGAGAAAATGTTTGCAAAAGATGAGACTGACAAGGGTTTAATTTCCAAAATATATAAACAGCTCATACAACTTAATAAGAAAAAAGAAAAAACCCAATCCAAAAATGGGCAGAAGACCTAAACAAGCTATTTGCCAAGGAAGACATACAAATGGCAAATAGGCACATGAAAAAATGCTCAATATCACCAATTATTAGAGAAATGCAAATCAAAACTATAATGAAGCATCACCTCACACCAGTCAGAATGGCCATCATTCAAAAGTCCACAAATGATAAATGCTGGAGAGGCTGTGGAGAAAAGGGAACCCTCTTACACTGTTGGTGGGAATGTAGTTTAGTGCAGTCATTATGGAAAACAATATGGAGAGACTCCTCCAAAGACTAAAAATAGACTTACCATATGATCCAGCAATCCCACTCCTGGGCAAATACCTAGACAGAACCTCAATTCAAATAGATACATGCACTCCAATGTTCATAGCAGCACTATTTACAAAGCCAAGACATGGAAACAACCTAAATGTCCATCGACAGATGACTGGTTAAAGAAAGTGTGGAATATTTATACAATGGAATACTACTCAGCCATAAAAAATAATAAAATAATG